TAGATTTATATTTGTTGATCGGTAGACTTATTGATTGTTAGCGATGGTAAACTTATTTATAGTGGTGGTAGACTTATTTATAGTGGCGATAGATTAATATTATGTGGTAGACTTGTTACTTTCTTTGGTAGATTTATTCAATGGTTGCAGGTCTTTACTACAACAAATCTACCAATATTTGGTAAATCTAACATAATGATGGTAGACTTTTTTGGCTATATTGAGTTACGATAGACTTGTTTCTTAATATTGAATGATGATAGACTTGTTTAGATTCGGATAAGCGTACTGGTAGATTTAAAAATAAGCGGCATGGTAGACTTGTTGTGGTAGGTGGTAGACTTACAATATGTGGTAGACTTATTTGTAGTAATGGTAGATTTATAATACGTGGTAGACTTATTTTATAGTAGTGGTAGACTTATTCAAAAGGGTAAAATCGTAATTTACCGTTCATCTTCTCCACCAACCCAAAAGCTGTCAAACGACAACAATGGTGGCCAACAACTTTTTAGCTCATTTTTACTGTATTTTAACTTGTTTTCAACTGGGTTTAACCTAAAACTAGTAGATCTAACATCATATATCCTTTTTCTAATTAAAAATCAAAAGATTTTGAGTTTTTTTTTTCACCTTATGATTTTTAATCCGATTTTATCTTAATTCCGGTGCTTCCTCAGCCTCCACACCTTCACCGCGCGCGCCTCCGCGGCCGCTTCAAACAAATTCTTCATATTTTTTTTTTTAAATCAAAATAGCATTTTTGTAATAACAAAACATAACCTTGGTTTATATGTCTTTTAAACCCTTTCTTAGTATTTTGATATTTTGTCAAGACTATTCTAATAATTAGTCTATTTGTCAAGTACATTCTAGTATTTAATCTTTTTTTTGGGGCAAAATATAATCACTATCTTCTAATGTATATTTTGACGAGATCCACCAAATAGGTTTAGGGGTATTAGTGTACAAGCAAAAGAAAGAGACCAAATTAGGAGAGTACAAAAACCTATAGGGACTGCAATACAATTAAATGGGGAATATCTGGATCTTATCTCTTGATTTGTAGAGGTTTTGAGAGAGAGAGTCGGGAAAATTGAAAAATTAAAGGATTAGCTTTGTTCATCTGATTGGAGAGAGGAGCGATGGGGCATGACTTGAGATTTGAGTAATAATTCAATTATGATGGAGTTTTTAATGTAAACCATTTACATAAAAAAAAAAAACTGACGCCAAATGCTAAAGGTAACTTAAAAACCCCTAAAAAGAGTAAATAGTTTGTTTTTGTGGTCGTAGTAAATAAATTATGAAGGAGTTTTTTAATGTACAAAACAAACTGAGGCCAAATGCGAAAGGTAATTTAATAAAAAATTAAAGGGACTTTGTACAATTAATTGGAAATAGATGGGAACAAACACAATACACTGGGTAAACCTTCAAAATCAAAAGATGTGTTTTGTCAAAGAGTTGTCCGAAAGAGGAGAAGATATCAAGTCATCAATTTTTTTTGGAAATTAGGGTTCATCACGCGGAGCGATGGAGGCTGAGCTTGAAGGTACGAATCCAATTTTGTTTCCACAAACTTTAGGGTTTGGTATATATTATTATTATATAGTCCCAATCGACCGATCAAGCTGTTTTTAGGTTGGTCTTCTGTGTTGGAAATGTGCATTTAAGTTGGAAAATGTGCATTTAAGACAAATCTCATGGTTTTGTATGAGATTGTAGAGTATTTTAATTAAAATCATATTAACTTATTTTAAAATTAAATTATTTCAAATCCTCTCAAATACTAAATTGAATAAGTGTATTTTTGTTTTTTTTGGGTAGAATGTTATTCGAGGAGTACAAAACCTACGAAACAAACTTTCATTAGGGTTATTTTGTTCATCTGATTCTAGAGAGGGGCAATGGGACATGACTTACCAGGTACAAATCGAACTCTAAATCTAAGGATCTGTATACATAAATATATATAGTACCAATCAAATTTTGATTTTTCCGGTCTTAGATTGGACTCTTGCGGACGAACCTGCGTACCTTACATACGAGGATGGTTTTGAGCCTCATGAGATGTATCTTCCGTTTATAAGACGCGGTGAAGGTAAACCGCCTCATCTCACTTCTGAAGATGAAGAACGCCTCATCAACGAACAGATCAGAAAAAGCCAGGTTCTTATAATAATCGTGGAATTTTTTGTTTTTTTATCTGGTGTTATAGGGAATTGATCTTTCTTTGATTTAGTCCATCATTTTTGTATGTGTCGATTCTTTGGAAATCTAGTATGTGTTATAGGGATCTTGAACTTGTTCAGATCTTTTCATGTGTTCGATTCTTTGGGAATCTTGTGTTTATATATATAGGGGTTCGACATCGAGTTCGAGATTTTCCGCTGCATGTTTAACTACCAACCGCTTAATTTCGATGATAACAACCAGTTCTTCACGGGAGAAGAAACCACCAGACAGTTATTGGAAAGGCTGACTCGGGAATCCCTTGAGGGATTCAATAAACAAAAGGTCGAAACTAGTCCTATGCATACACTGATATATATACAAGATGTGCTTATTTATGATTGGTTTTCTTTGTAAAAACTAACAGGGTACAAAATACCAATTTGTCAAGTTTCTTAAAGGCAATTTTAACGAGGCTATGTGCCCTGCCATAATGTTTTACATTACCTTTCAAGGTAAGGACCCATCCGATGATGAGCCAAAGGACTTCCAAGCTAAGATCTGCTATTTTTATCATGAGCTGCCTAAGTACATCTACTGTGAGCTGAAACCCGGGAAAAAAGGTATTCTTTTCTTTCAAACCATTGGTTTTTGTTTTGGATCAATCATAGGTTTGTAGATGGGTCTATCTTTGTTTACTTACTTGGATTGTTTTGGCAGTTCACTCCATTGAAACTGCAGAGAAAGAAGCTGCCAAGAAACCAAGGTATGTATATAATGTCTTTTTTTCTACTTTGATGAGTCTTGATTTTAGATTCTACATAAGGGGTTATTGTTTTCACTTTGCTGAATCTTTTTGTGTTTGTTCTTTTATTGATATATACTCAGGTTGACAGAGGAGCTAGAGCAAACTAATGCCTAAGACTGTGGTGATAAATGACCGGGAGTCTAGTCATACAAATTGTAACAATGGCTTAACTAGTGTTCATTAATTTATTAATTAAGTTATTTACTTCCAATCCATCAAAAGGTTTTCTGAATAGTACTGATGGAAGAAAATATTTTGGACCTACAAGGGTTTTTCTGAGATAGTTAAAAAAGCACAAAATGTTTAAAAGACAAAAAAAACAATAGTTTTCATTCGTTTTAAGAACTGGAATTGTGCACCACGTGTAAGATAAACCACTTGATTTTTCATCTTCATACTTCAAAAACTTGGTCAAGAAGCTGCATAAATAAACAGAAAATTTAGAAAGATAACAAAATCAATAAACAAAGTCTAACATATATGATTATATATCAAACGGTTTACCTGTGGGTACATGTACATGTTTAAAAAATCAATAATTTATTATTAATGCAAATTTTCCAAAAGCCTTGTCACCTCCCCACTTGAGTCCCCATGTATTTTGAAATTCAAAGAAGTGAACTCCATCTCTAGTTCCAATCCCAGTAAGGAAAACGATGTGGTCTACAAATTTGCTGTTTTCCTTAGCTCCCAAGTATATTTCATCCTATTTAGAAGAAAAAAAGAATTATAATTATACACTTAATCTCAACTTATTTTATAAATAAGTAAAAAGAAATGTACTCACCTTAACGCTTGATTTGTATGTAGGACATATATACTCGTATATGCACAGCGATGGGACCTCTTGTTTTCAATAGTGAAATTAATTCCTTTTCATTAACTTTGTTTCCCTCCACAACAACAAATTCTCTTATTTTGTAGACTTTTTTATCCTTCAATTTTTTTTAAAATTGAGTCAAATATATCATATCAATTGACATATTTAAAGATTGATATACTTACCTTCACTTTGTCACATGCCGTTGTGTTGATCTCTGTTTTTCCGGCGATGCATTTGCAATCCTCTTCTAAAACCAAACCAGATTCTTTTAGAATCATCGATAGTTTTTTAGGTTTCCGTTAGCAAACTTCTCTTTGATATGTGCAAAAAGATGTTTTCCAGAAAAATTCCATAGTTCTCCAACTTTGTTGTGGATATAGAGATGAGATGCAATTTCTCGGTTGAAAACAATCGTCCAACAATAACCTATACATAAAATTGCTTTGATTAGTAACTTTTGAGTAAAGTTCCTTGACAACTTAAAAACAAAAAATTACTCACCATTCGCTCCTTGACAAGTAGCTTCCCGCAAAACATTTTTGTTATTTGTTTGGTCTCTCCAACTAAAATTGTATTTGCAATCATGAGGAAGATCCTACAATTAAAACAATAGAAAAAATGTTAGAGACCTATATAGACTATGATTCAAAGTAAATATAATGTTAATACCTCTGGAAGTTCCGATGGGGCCCTGCATTTCAATAAACACCATATGATATTAACTATTGTTTGACATTAAATCTTAGATTATTTTATCAATATCATTAGAAAACGAAAATACATAGCACATCTTTCCCATGTCTTTTTGGTGCCATTTGTTTAAACCCTCTTTGCTTTCCTGTTCAATCAAACACATAAAAAACTGTCAAAAGTTATGATTAAAAAAGAAGAAGATAAGATCTAATCGAAAACAAGAAAAAAAAAGAGAATGGAAGTTCAATATCAAGAAACAAAATAAGTCACTACATGTAGATAAAAAAAATCCAATCTTCTGTTGAGAAAGATGCAAATCTATTATATAAAATAAGCATATAGACAGTCTTAAATGTGAGCTCTTTTTCATCTTCGAAAGTTTTCTTAATTAGTATACTAACGAGCGGATTAAATCCAAAGAATCTGAGATCTGGGTTTAAACAAATTAACTTCACAAAGGAGAATTATACGATTCACAATACTCTTTAGAATCAAACCCATCACAAGAAACAAAAGAAAGAAGAGGCCAAGAACAAGAGACAGCGCAAAGCTAAAGAACAAAACTTTAATCTCATATATTTTTTTCTTTCGATAGATTCTGTGAAATTTGGCTCATCAAACCCCAGATTCTCTCACGAAGTACTAATTTCAAGATGAAAATTTGAAGAAGAAAAACGGAGAAAGACGACAACTTTAATTGAAAAATGAGATTTTTACAAGGACTTTGGCATTTTCTTTCCTTTTCTATAAAACCTAACAAGCGAGAAAATGATCAACTCCAAAGAATCTGATATTTAGGCTCAAAGACGAAAGTACGATTATCATTTAACAATGCTTAATTAGAGGCAAACCCATCACAAACTCATCACAAGAAACGATGAATAAGAAGAGATAGAGCTACACAAAATAAAAGTTCTAAAGATTTCATTTTTCTTCTTTTTTGTTCTAAGATTCTGTGAGATTCGGAGACTTTCAAAGAAAGATGTTTACCCAAAGAAAAAACTTTCAAAGAAAGATAGACGAGAACTTTCTAATTACTTTCATGGGGATGCTTACT